TTTGATATCATTCAAATTTAGTGTGATTGGTAAGACTTTTTTGAATAGGTATGAAGCTGCAAAGTGTGCTTACAAGTACTACTTACTCTCCTGGACATTAAGATTCTGCTGTCAGCCAGTAAAGGGATGGGACTGGCTAGGGTTAGGTCCTCCTAGGTGCAGAGTGGAGAAACTGTATAATAGATAGAGTCAAGTATTTTTTTCTATAAGCATATTATTATTATTATTCTTTTTTATTTCAGAGAGAGGAATGGAGAGGGAGAACGAGACAGAAACATCAATGAGAGACCCAGGCATGTGCCCTGACCTCGAATGGAACCATGACCTCCTGGTTCATGGGTCGACACTCAACCATTGAGCGACACTGGCCGGGCAGCATATTATTTATTTTAAAAACATCATAAATATTTAACTACATATTCTACAAGTTAAATACTATATAATTAAAAACAGAAATTATGGAGCCAGATAAGAAGAAAATTGCCACCTCAGTGTTACCAATAATTATTTTACTTCATTATGCTTTCCTGTACTTTAAGAAGGAACCCATTACTTCTTTCCAGGAAGTGTTTTCGGGCATTAAAATTCCCAGGTGCCTGCCTGACCACAGTCTTTCAGCATAAAATACCCTTGATACTTGAGTATTTAAAAAATCCTCATGATACTTTTCAGCTTCTTGTTTACTAACTTTGTTCAGATTATTGATCTTTCATTAATTGATATACTCAAGGAAGGCCTAAACAACTCTTCTCTATTTACCCTCATGTAGCCAAAAGTAACTACTATTAACATATTATTTCTTATTTTTATGCTGAGATCACAAATATAATTTTATATTCTGCTTTTTATACTTTAACCTACTATTATTAGCTTTGGGAACTCTTCCTAATTAAAAATTTCAATGGTTTTGTGATGTTCCATCATATGGACGTCACATACCTTGCCTCATATTCCAGGGATCAAATCATTACCTGACTTGAGACAACCTGATTTTCAACTCTGATCTCAGATAGATACCATTATTCATTTCACATAAATGGCACACCAGAGAGGGGATATGCCAATAAGTTGAAGTTATTTCCTTTTACCACGAAAAAGAGCATTGGGGCTTGAAGATAGGCCAATATATGTTTCTTGGATTGAATCTCACTTTATAATTGCATGATACTTATTTACTATTTATTTCACTTATTTAGTGTAACACTTTCAAAAATAACATTTGCTTATAACTTTTTTGTTTTAACCTTGAGTGCCACTTCTAATTGTGATTTGGCAACCTTAAAACTGAGTTGGCATTTAGGAAAACTGTTTTTCCTTGGATATCCTTACTTGAGTTGCTTAAGCAATTCCTGTTCCTCTTTAAAGGAGGAATGTAGTCAAAATCCTCCCAAAAGGAAACAGGTAGGACTTTATTCTGGGACTGGCTTTACTATTTGTTGATGAAAATGATTCTGATAGAGATGAATTATGCTGGCCCTTGCCCCTTAGGCCTGGTTCTTCCTTGGCACAGGGTGAGCAGCTTAGAAAGACTGCTTTTAATTTATGGTGAATAAAGGAGGACACTTTGTATACTTGCAGAAGTGGCTCTGCAAAGTAGTGCTTTGAACCTAGTACTCTTCAAAGAACTGGCCTGTGGCCACAGATATAGGTTACATATGAATACAGGGTGATACCATCCAAATAATTATTATCAAACAGGTTTAACCTAGGAAATACTGACCTTACTTGCTAAAATGTGGTTAAAGAATGGGGAGGGGTATTTGATTTCTTGTGGTGATCTGCTTACTTGCATCTAAGATTCAGGTATGAATGGATTAATCCAACCACTGTGTATGAGCATCAGTTGAATTTAGTATTTCAACTCTGAAAATGATAACTATATAATTAGAATGAAGGACCCTAAAAAGGTAAAAACACTAAACAGACTAGCTATGTAAATCAAAATTTTTAAAAAGTTTATTTTTCTTCTACATAAGCATGTACCAAGTATAGGTGGTTTGGTATATCTTATAAGAACCACATTCTTTTGTAGCTTTGGTATCTCAGGGACACTTTATTGTGGGGAAAGAAAATTCTTTAGTTTTGTCCAGAAAAGTTGTCAGTAGATCTGAATGCTCAGGGTTTCTAGGATTTCAATGCTCTTTGTATCATTTTGGAATTGAAGTCCTAGGATGATACGATACTTGGTGTCTGCTTTCAGGATTTATCATGATGTTCTTTAACAGTTAAGCTTGTAAGATCAATATAGAATGAATCAGAACACAGATATGCATAGTAACTTGAGGAACCAGACTGGCTGTCAGGCCTGCAAGACTTGATTGTAACTTTTGGAATGTGAAAACTGTGTCAATAAGAACAGGTCAGATTAGCTCTGAGAAAGCATAGGAGACAGAGAGTCACTTAAGGGAAAGTTGGCAGTCAGTTGGTCTCTGTAATGGCAGTTTCTCACAGTAAAACAATAAATGACATTTTAATGACCACCTCACTCCTGTGTGCATCTTAGTTATCTTGAGATATCTCCCAGGGCTGGTGTAGAAATAGAACTGGGAAATTGGCAACAGGTACATGAAAAGGTGTTCCACATCACCGATCATTAGGGAAATACAAATCAAAATCGCAGTGAGTCCTGGCCTGTAGGCTCAGTTGGTTGAGTGTCGTCCCATGCACCAAGAGGTCACCAGTTTGATACCTGGTCAGGGCACATGCCCAGTTTTTGGGCTCGATCCCGATTTTGCGGGAGGCAACCTATCGATGTTTCTCTCTCTCATCAATGTTTCTCTCCCTCTCTGTCTCTCTCTAAAATCAATAAAAACATATATATTTTTTAAAAACCACCACAATGAGATGTCACCTCACACCTATTAGAAGGGATAGCATCAAAAAGAAAAGAGATAACAAGTGTTGGTGAGGATGTGGAGAAAAGGGGACCCTTGTGCACCATTGGTGGGATTATAAATTGGTGCAGCCACATTGGAAAACAGTATGAAGATTCCTCAAAATATTTAAATTAGAACTATATGATCCAGCAATTCTTCTGGGTATATATTCAAAGGTAACGAAATCACTGTCTCAAAAAGGATATCTGCATTAATTTTTAAAAAAGGTATCTGCACCCTCGTGTTTATTGAAGCATTACTTACAGTAGCCAAGACATGGAGAAAACCTATGTGACCACTTATAGATAAATGGATAAAGTAAATGTGATATTGATACACCTCCATACAAAGGAATATTATTCATCTATAAGGAAGAAGAAAATCTTACCATTTGAAACAAAATGGATGGACCTTGAGGGCATTATGCTAAGTGAAATAAGTGAGACAGTGAGAGGCAAATACTGTATGATCTCACTTATATGTGAATCTGAAAAACCCAAACTCATAGCAACAGAGAACAGATTGTTGGTTGCCAGAGGTGGGGATGGGGGTGGGGGAAATGGGTGAAGGTTGTCCAAAGGTACAAACTTTCAGTCATAAGATAAATAAGTTCTGAGGATGTAATATACAGCATGGTGACTATAGTTAACAATACTGTATTGTTTATTTGAAAGTTGCTAAGAGAGTAGATCTTAAAAGTTTTCATCATAAGAAAAAAAATTTAACTATGTGAGGTGATGGATATTTACTAAACTTATTGTAGTAATCAGTTTGTAATATATACATATATCAAATAATTATGTTGTGCACCTGAAACTAATATAAAGCTATATGTCAATTATATCTCAATAAAAATGGAAGGGGGAGAAATAGAACAGGGGAATATGGTGGCTCCAGTGTTTAATGGTGTAACATTAAGAAAGCCCGGTTATCTCCCAGTTTGAATAAATTCTTGGTCTCAGGGCTTTCAGATCAGAAGACCAGAGTGAGATCCATCTGAGTTTCTCTTTTTAGATGATGCTCCTATACCATACCTAGCTTTATTCACTTTATTGAATATGTCTGCCTTTATGTACTCATCCACCTTTTAAAAATGAGTCAGAAAATGTACAAAAATGTGTAAGAGGTTCATTTTGAGTATAGATAGAATTCCAATTCAAGACCCTCCCATACCTGTAGGTATTTAAAGAATGTAAAATAGATATGGTGAAAGTTCCTTAAAAAATTATTACCACTCTCATTACTGTTCTTGAAAAGAGAAAAGAGTAGTATTCCAAAAATAAAGGGCAAGGTAAACTATCCAGTATAACAATTGGGGACTCAAAAAGAGGAGTTAGACATCTCATCTCCTTATGTTTTCCTTATATAGTTTGATTTGGTGCATCCAACTTTTTTCATTCAATTGCAGTTGGTTTTGAGTTTTTATGGGGTTGGAAGCTGTGTTGAGAAATGCTGGGGATATAGGAGGAAACTTGAAGATCATCTAGGGCAGCAATTTTTAAACTTTCCACTAAAGTGCTTTAGATGGTCCAGGAGAATAAGTGAATAGTTGACTGATTTGGAGACATGTCCCAAAGTGCCCAGTGCAAACTTAAAACACTTTTGTCTCAATTTTAGCTTAAAAAAATCACAGGGGGAAAATCATAGGCAATTTATATTCTTGTCCATAATATTCATGTCTAGGTATGTGTACTTAGTGCTGGAAATATAGTGAATAAAAAGTCATTTTTTGGCTTTTTTGTTTGGCAAAAGATGTGTGGTTTTGAGGAAATGCCCTCATCTCTATATGTATTGTCCATGTAATGTCATTGTCCAGAAAAGGATCTTGATGGTTCATACTCCTAGAAACACAGGGTTATCGGCTACTAATGTGAGGATTGAGTGATAGCAGATGAAGATCACCTTGCAAAGCATAATAGGCCATGTAAATGTGAGCTGTTTGTTTTTTTTATCTTTACATCTTCAGTCCTCTCAGAATTGGATCTTATGACCAAGTGAAAAATTAATAGGGGAGAGAATGTTAGGATGCGGGGCAGAAGGTTTCTTGCCTTAGACTTTCTTTCACATGATCAGAATTAGGTACAACAAGTTAACTAACCATTGGTACAATTAATGCTCTTGCAGGAGGGAGCACTGGCAGTTGCTGGGTAATTTGAAGACTACTGTGGAGGGTTTGGTGTCAACCAACAGCCCCAATGTCTGGTCCAAGTATGGTGGCCTGGAGCGGCTTTGCAGGGACATGCAGAGCATCCTCTATCATGGGCTCATCCGTGACCAGGTATGCAGACCTTCTTTTTTGCCAGATTGGGTACATTAGCTGTTGGAAAGAAACAGTTGCAGTAAGTTGTTGGCAGGGAGAAGATGATGGCCACTAGTCTGTGAGCCTTTGAAGGAAGGACTGTACAATGTGATGATGACGAGGAAGGGGACAAGGACAATGACGATCAATCGATTATTGGGGTTTTTCTCTTAGGATCATCCTAGGACACATCTGAGAAATAGTTATAGAATATCGTCATTTTTAGCCCAGCCGGGCGTGGCTCAGCGGTTGAGCGTCGACCTAGGATCCAGGCGATTGGGGTTCGATTCCCGGTCAGGGCACATGCCCGGGTTGCGGGCTGCAGCCGATCAATGACTCTCATCACTGAGGTTTCTATCTCTCTCTCCCTCTCCTTTCCTCTCTCTGAAATCAATAAAGGTATATTTAAAAAAAAAAAAAAATTAAATAAAAAAAAAGAAGTCATTTAGAATATCGTCATTTTTAGAATATCCTATGAGCAGTCATTTGTAGACAACCGGTTGATGCTTATGAGTAGTTGTAGTTATAGCTTAATTTTTTTTTTTTTAATCCTCACGCGAGGACATTTTTCCCGTTATTTTTCAGAGACAGTGGAAAGTGGGGGGGAGAGGGGGAGAGAGAGAGAAACATTGTCGTGAGAGAGACACATCGATTGGTGCTTCCCACACTCACCCCGACCAGGGCCGGGGATCAAGCCTGCAACCGAGGTACGTACCCTTGGCCGAATCGAACCCGGAACCCTTCGGTTCCCAGGCTGACGCTCTACCCACTGAGCTAAACCGGCTAGGGCTAGCTTACTTTTAAAATATAAACTTACTGATGTTGAGTTTCTTTTCCTTAATATCCTCAAACACTCTAATAAGCTTTGGGTATTGAAAATGAGTGGAAGCTAATAATTTTTAATGGTTTTTGCTTATCTTTGGCAATTACTCCATTTACAGTGTTTTAAATAAGGTTTGGACTGAATAAAATTGTCAGGTGAGTCATTGTGTCTGGTGTCCTCCTACTTCTTAAAAATCAAACCTCACAAATTGTGTGTTCCCAAACACTCATGCTGTTTTCAAGTCAGAGCCTGGTATTTTTCCCTGGAACTCTTTTCCCTGAGTCAGGTTTATCTTTCTTTTTTATTAGAACTTATTCTCAACTAGCAGTCACATCAGGAAAGATCTAATCAATGAATTGATATTAAGGTATTTGTAGTTGATAGGATTTACTGTGCTACCCTCCCTTCTAAAAATATGTGCATATTATCTCTAAACAATATCTTTAAACCAGTGTTCCTGTTGGAGATTTTTTAGAATTTAGTGGAAAAGTTGGCTTAGGTTAGATTTTCTTTATTCAAAGTAAGTTCTAAAAGTGAGGCCTTTTCTCTTAATGAGTTTTAAAGATAGGGGAAACTTTTTAACCTTTAAAGAATTGTTCTTAATGTTCATCATTATTAAAACACCATTCTAGGAATTTGGAGGCAACATAGTGTAGCAGACCGACAAAAGCCTTTAATATCAGTCAGAACCTGGATTTAAATCCAGACTCATTGCTCAGGTCCTGGGGGGGGGGGGGGGGAATGACATAGTAGTTACAGTTATAGACTTTTGAGTCAGACTGCTCATATTTTAATCTCAGCTTCACCACTGTGTGGTGTTGGGTAAGTTATATAACACTTTGTGCCTCTGTTTCCTCATTTGTAAAATGAAGAGATAACACTGGTACCTAACTTAGAGGATTGTCGTGAGAATTAAATGAGATAATACATGAAAAGCTTTAGAAAATCATAAGAAATTATCAGTCTTAGCTATTAGGTAATATTACCTTTTGAGCCTTGCTTTTGTCATCTGTAAAAATGAGGATAATGTTATTTATATCATAATGTTTGATGGAATGATTAAATGAAGAAGCATACAAATTTGCCTCCTGAAGTTCATGGCACGTAGGAAGTAATTAATAAGTGTTCCTTTTTTTAAAGTTTCAAGTTACATGTAGTCCTATGAAAAAAATAACTGTGAACATTGGAATTTACAAAACAAATAAGTTAACCCACTGCAATCTGGTTTCTTCTTTTACCACTGATGATCTTGGTACTAAAGTTTAAGTAAAAATGACATGTATGTTACCAAACCTAATTAACATTTCTCCTTTGCACACTGTCTTATATTCTTCATTATTGCCACCATCAGATCTTCACTTTTATGGCATTATTATTTTATCATGTCATAGAGACCTTCTCTTACCTCTGTGACTGACCACTCATTCTTAGTTTCTTTCCCTGGAATCTCTTCCTCTTGGATTTTAGTTTTTTGTTTGTTTTTAAATATGTCTTTATTGATTTCAGAGAGAGGAAAGGAGAGGGAGAGAGAGAGAGACAGAAACATCAATGATGAGAGAGTCATATATCTGCTGCCTCCTGCACATCCCCTACTGGGGATTGAACCCGCAACCTGGGCACGTGCCCTGATTGGGAATCCAACAGCAGTCTCCTGGATCATAGGTCAATACTCAACCTCTTAGCCATGCTGGCTGGGCTGGATTTTAGTTTTTAATGGGGTTCTGTCCTATGTCCTTACTTCTTCTTACTTTGTTCATTTTCCTGAAGCAGTCTTATCCACTTGCATTGTTTTAATTGTCTTCTATACACTAATAACCCTAGGCTCAGACATCTCTACTGAACTCCAGATCCACAAGACTAGCTGTCTGCTATATATTATCTGGCTATGTGTCCTACAGGCCAAGCACAACATGACCCAATACAAACTTATTTTCTCCCATGAGATTGCCCTTCCTCCTGATATTTTTAATACTAACTTGTGGCCTTGCCAGCTACTCAGTATCCCAAGTTAGAAACTTGGGAATCATGCCAACATGTTTTACAAAAACTCAATATGAGTGTCCCGGACCGATGACTGAAATAGCTACCAGATTAGTGACCCTGCCTTCTAGTGGTTAAAGTACCTTCGTCTTGATAGCAAAAGGATTCTATTACTGAATTTACAACGTCATCTAGAGTAATCACTTAACCATATTACAAAACAGTTTGACCATCTGTGCCAGAAAGAAAAAGTGTGTCATGATGAAATAGTAGTCAGTGAAATTGTCAAGTGAAAGGTGCTTGGCAAATGCAAAGCAATATTAACATGTCTTGTTCTAGTTATTAAAAGTTTTGATATCTGTGAAGGCACCTGGTTATCACAGTGAAGAATATTAAAGTATGTGGCCATCTGCAAAAGAGCAGTTGTGTTAATAGTAAAAGCAGAGCAAAACAGGCAGATCTGTCATACACACACACACACACACACACACACAGCAATTATAAGCCCTAGTGGGAAGAATAAAAAACAAAAGATTCCTTTTAATTTCACCACTGCTCTGTTCTGCCTTGTAAAGACCTAAAAATTAATGTCTGTGTCAAGGACTTGTTGTCCTCTTTCATTTCCTCCCCAAAGATTAAGGCTTTCAAAGGTCTGGCTGCTGCGTCATGAAGAAGCTATTCTGGGTGTTGTGCCCTTGGAGAGGGGGAGGGGATACAATGATTCATGAGGGTCATTTCTTCTGTGCTTTCATAAGGATGCATTATGGAATGTGTAGTATATTTTTTTTAAAAATCAGGGCCTTAGGAAAGCTATAGCATCATGACCAATATTCTTAGAAAATCTCATTTTCCTTGACAGCCTGCATCTGGGCTTTTAGTCCTTCCATAGCAATAACAATCACTCTTGAATTTTTTTTTTTTTTTTTTTTTTGGTGCACTTATGTGCTTTTTAAAATACTAAGATTGTGCTGTATATATCACTCCATAACTTGCTTTAAAATATTTAATTTTTTAAATGGACAGTACATTTATATGGTTGAAAAAACAAAAAGTGTAAAACCATATTCAGTGAAAAGTCTCATTTCCTTCCAATCCCATAGGTAACTATTATTTACCAGTTTCCTTCCAGAGAATTTTTATGCTTATAAAAGCAAATCTGAATAATTTTCTTTGCTACACCTGATTTTTCACACAAATAAAAGGACACTATAATCACTGTTCTGCACCTTGCTTTTTTCACTTGATGTATCTTATAATTTATTTAAAATCATTACTTAAAGAGCTTCATTCTTGTTTATAGCTGTCATTTTGTAAGGTTCCCTTGTATGTATATACCATAATTAATTTAACCAGTCTCCTGGTAGTGGACATTTAGGTTGCTTTTGGTCATTTACTGTTAGGAGTAATGCTACAGTGAATAACTTTGTATATAGGTCACTTGGCCCTTTACTATATTCCTAGACATAGAATTCTTAGGCTAAAGGATAGGTGCTTTTCTTCTTTTTTTTACCACCAAGTTGAAATTTTTTATTTTGCTAATGTACAAATAGAATATAACAGTCCACTTTATATGGTTTCTAAACACTTAACCACTGATGATTTCCTTAAAATGCTGCTGTTGTTCTTCATAGTTCAGGTGATCTTCTGTGAAAGCCCAACTTGCCTTCCTTTCTACCCACTGAATTAATTTGTCTTTTCAGAAGACTTGTTGGATGTTTTCTTTGTTGGCCTGTCGATGTTACTGCTTTATTTGAAATACTTCATTTCCTAATTGCACAATAGTCCTTTCAATCTCATAATTCTTACTGACCAGGGATACCCAATTTGACTACATTTCTCTTAATTTAGATCCAGCTGTAAGTTGCATATTCTTTTGCTGCCAGTTTAAATTTTGAACATGTTTCCTTAATTTCTGGAGTTCTTTCTGTGCATGTTCAATCATGTGAACGGGATTTTCATTATATACTTGTTAGGCATTGCATCCATGCTGTGACATTAGTTCCGGATTCTCAATTCGAACCGCTTGATGCTCTAACTAGGCTGTAGAATTGTTCACACATTCTTCCCATGCAGTAATGTTATTTTTCTGACCTGAGGAAGGGGCTGGAAGTTCATATCATTTTATACTAAGCAATTCAATTGGTTGA